AGAAAGACAACAGAGTTTCATTCAAAACAGTACTTCACTACAGTTTAAATACACTTTTTACGGTGTACTTGATGAATCACCAGGTGCTGCACAGTATTTTAAAATTTCATCTTTTTATTTATTCATTTTCTAGTTGTTGTTGTTTGAATAAGTCTATTTCTCAAAAAACAAAAGAGGCTGATTTAGAAGAGATCCAGCCTGTTTTTCTGTTGTTCAAGCATTTAATTATGTGGATAGAATGACATGAGTCTTAATACGTTTCTGTTTTTTCTAGTTACAATCCAGCCAGGCCCTTTTCCTGTCCTGACTCCTCTCCCAACTGCAGGAACCCCCCATAACACTGGAGTCACAGTTCATCCACTCACACAAGGTATTACGACTGCATCTTTCACTGTCACTATTACATGTTTACTGCTATTTCCTAAGTGCGTCCCCCTTACGTAGACTCATTTCTCTGCTGTCATCCTGCTCTGTCATCTGAATCCCAGTTGGTGTAGCAGCGCCTCCCAGCAGCAGACGCACTCAGACAGTAGTGACTCAGCCTCAGCCGGTTCCCGTCTCAGTGAACTATCTGAGAGACTCCCCCTGTTTGGTACGATGCACAAACTGCCGCCGCCTCGTCACCACTAAAGTCCAGTTTGTGCCTGGACAAACTGCTTGGTGCCTGTGCATCGTTCTCACGTTGATGGGGTGAGACTAGTCTACACGGCAGTATTTCACGTCTGCGAGTATTGATTGAGCCGCAACAAAGCTTAATTTGTGTGCTCTGTGTTTCAGGTTGGTCTGTGGTTTCTGTCTCATTCCATTAATGGTACCTAGATGTCAAGACGTACATCACTCCTGTCCGCGGTGTGAAGCTCCCCTGCATGTTTTCACGAGATGACGCCGTCAGAACAAGCATCTGATCTGAACTCATTTCTTGTCACAATATGAATAAATGAACTTACAAGCTTGGAATTTGAGCAGCTCGCCTGTAGAGATGGACAGACGGGCGAGAGGCTGCAGGATCACATGTGGATATTTTTTTTCTGTTGTATCAATTTGTCTCTGGTGGACTCATGACAGCTGTGAAAGGCACAGTTCCCACCTTGTAACAGTCGCCTTTTAAACCTACAGCGGGTGAGTATGCACTATGAAACACATGCAATCATGTTGTTGATGGTAGATGGATGTGCTGCACATTTTTGTACATTCGAAGGCATTCTTCACAAGCTTTTGTAGTATACAAATCTAAAAGAAAACTAGACACGAACACCCTGTGAACTTTTCTACGGATGTATTGTGATGGGTGTTAAAGCTGGTGTAAGCAGTATTTCTTTTTGTTTTGTTTTTTTGCCAAATTGGGCAGAAATGTTAAGATAACCTTGCAGCATGTTGTAATTTAAGTCTGAGAGAAAACTAGACATGTGCACCTCCTCTTTGCTCTGTTTGATAGTGAAGCCAGACAGTTTTACGGGGGTTGCCTAGCTGAGGCTGTTCCTCACAGCTGTTTGGCACAACGTCTGCTTCATTGTTTTTACCGTAGATCAATAAGTAAGCCAAATATTTTTTGGGTGACTCACTCTTTGCTTTTGTAAGAACAAAATAATGTTGAAAATATGTTGATTAAAAAACATTTGGCAGTTAATCAGAATGATTGGTAAAGTTGTTTTTGATGATTGATAATGTTCATGACATAATTACATCATACATTGCATCAGATGAGTACATTTATGACTCCTTCAGCTCAGGAATCCCTCCTAGTTGGGAATTTACTCTGTGACCATCCAGCCTTTGGTTTCTTTCTTTTCGATTCTTTGGTTTTTAAAGTTCTGGCTCAGTCTCACATTGTTCAGCAGTTTGCACCACCGGTTTTTCAAAGCTCTTTAAAGTAGGGTTCATCCACACAGTCTTGAAGAGTCTATACAAGAGCTCCAACTAAATCTACACCTGAACTACATCTTCACAATTGGATTCTTTATTTACATATTTTTTAAAAATGATTTTTATAGTGCTATACAGTTTTCAATGACAATAACATGTAGTCTTTGGACCTAAACATGCAGCTGCTAATGAGTTTCACTATTTGAAGAGTTCATTTGCAAAAACAGATAACTCCATCTTCACAAACCTTCAAAAAAAAAAAAAACGTTTCCGTCGTCTACCTGAGACAATATCAATCAAACCTAGGTTATCTCTATTTTTGTCATATCTTTCTATGAGTCAAATCCACTTAACTTCAGTTTAATTGATATTATATCAAGAAAACAACAACAAAACAAGTTTTCTGAAAATCTACAAAAATGGAGTTATCTGTTTTTGCAAATGAACTCTTTATTTGTTGTATTTAGTGGCCAGACTTGAGTCCATGGAGGCCTCCCTGGGCCTTCCCTTGGCTCTGCCTCTGCTGTAACAGGGGACTTTAGCCAATCCCTCAGATCAGCTGATAGTATAAAGACTGACAAAGTCCTCAGTGGTAGCAGAATGTGGCTGCACAATGGGTTTAACGAAGGACTTTCACTCAGGAAAACAGGGATTCAATCTTGTGTTTAACCACAAGTGAGCATTGATTTTCAGATCGACTGTTTGTCTCGTGCACATGGCCGTGCTCGTGTGGTGGGAGGAGCTCAGGACAGCGATAGGAGACGATAAAGAGCTGGAGGAGGAGGAGAGTTGTAGTTTCAAATTCTAGCTTCTTTTATTTTGCTTTTTCCAGATTTCTGCCTACTGCAGCTTTAATTAAAATTTAATGAGGGGGAAGAGAACGCTGAATCTGCACCTACAGATGCAGATGACACCGGTGCAGAGTGAGAGCTGGATGCTTTACAGCACTGCAGGCAAAAAACTAAAAATAGAGCACACTTATGATCGTTTGTGGTTGTGATTTTGTGTATCATTAATTTGGAAATGGTGTTTTCTGTATTTAGCTATATACAAAGAATAAAATCTTTCTCTCTTTTGATGCAGATTCAGCTCGTGTTCGTGTGTATTTTAATGATGAAGGAGCTTCAGTTTTCAGACTTGAATATTTGAACACAAATGTTTGTCAGAAAAGTCGTAACAGGCTGTAATTTATTGTTCTGAACAATTCTTCTGTAATGATTAATAAAGTTTAATGCACAGATGTGATTTTAAATTGTTCTAATAACACGTTTTCTGTGGACTCTGTACACACTGTTTGATTGATGTCTCCCATAATGGTCCTTTTATCTCTGCTGCACCTGTGAGGGCGGGACCAACTACACCTTTGTTGTTTGTATTAGTAGCCTGAATGGAAGTGAAATGACCTGATTTATTGAACTTCAGTGTGACACTCCTCCAAACTTCAATTTGAACAGCTCTAATCAGTCAGACTGAGTGTTGCTTTAAAGCATTCTGTGATCCAAATATCAATAACATCTGATTTAAACTGAGGCTGATTGAAAGAACTTGTAATTCCCAAGAACGAAACTGACTTATAAATAAGAAAAGTTTTTCTTAGCGGTAAAAGATCTGTTTATATCAGTGATGTTTACTTATAATAAAGTAGGGCCACATGTGATTTCAGGTATGAATTCTATTATTTGAACAAAGTTATCTGCTCAGATTAACTGTTGGATAAATAAAAAATACAAACAGTGCCTTAACTTCATTGTTGTGAAGCATATGAGCATGTTTTATTTCCATGTCTTTTGACTCTGTATCACTATACATAACCACCATGACGACAAGGTCATCACAGAGAAAACTACATTGTGTAAAAAGTTCCCACCTTCTGAATCAATTTCTATGTCCATGGAACTGTGAATACACTTCTCCTTGCCAAGTGTGAGAACAGATTAAATACAAAGATTGATCCCACACTGAAAAGCAAATAAACCTGCCTTTCTCCAACTTTATGTCACATCACATAAACAGCCTTAATTAGCTACTTATATTGCCTTCTTTGAATCAGTTCCTTGTCAAGCGAAATCACGTTCAAACTAGCAGCTTGTGGCCCCTTTGCGTGCTAACGCTGGATTTTATTTCAGTGTCACTGCCAGCTCTGGATGCTGCATTTTTTAGCATTTGCTGACATTTCTGTAGTTTGTATCACCAGGTGGGAGGTGTTGTCGTTGTCTGAAGACTAATTACAGCTCTGAGGTTGGTCTGAACTGTTCTTCCATCTTCATAATTTCTGTCTGAACTAAATGACATAACCTAGAAGACCCTGGTTTTACCCGAGAAGACTTTGGTGCAGCATCTGTTGTGAGCTTTAGTGGTGCTGTGCTGGTAGGCAGATTGTGTTACATTTAGTCAGGGACAGTCGAGCTGTTTCCTTCAGCTTCATGTTTAGTGTTAAAGGTAGTCTTCTATTCATCTCATCCTTTGCAATATGGTAAATACGCATATTTTTCAACATGTTCAAGTATTCATTAAATGATATTGACTTGATTAATTCTATAATTGGACCTTATATGAATGTGCAGAATAGATAACGGAGGTTGTGGATAAAGGGTTTGACAATGTCAGAACTGCAATGCAACGACTGATTATTGTATCTTCTTTACCTGCCTTTAAAAGTGTGATGAGCGCTCAGAATCTCTGCTAAGTTACAATCAGCTTACTTTTTTAAAAATCAGAATGTTATTTTTGTATTCTATCATGTTGATAGGGAAAATAAACATGGTCTTAGTTTACTGACAAAGCTGTGCAGCAGGTTTCTTTTCCTAACATGACTGAGTTTTGCCTACGACCAGACGAATATTTGCGTGAATGCTTCTTTATTTCTCCCATTGTGACCTTGCTGAGGCTGACACTGTAAGGCGAAGGACACTTAGATATTAATGATTGGAACAGCAGCCAATAGCAGAGATACAGCAGGGCACAGATAGGAAAGTTAATCAGCTACAGACTGCTGCTTGCCAGATAACAATAGCATTCACAACTACCAGCTGTGGACTGACACGCTTGCATATCAGCCCTTCCTCTCACCACTCCCTTCGGACCGTCTCGTCAAGCTCGTTCCAGTGTCCAGTTTGTCAGTCTGCAGGTGAAGCGTGATGAAGAAGCCGTTGCTGCTGGGCGTGACGGCCTTCTGCCTCTGTGCATTTGTCACTGGAGACAAATCGTTCCCCGAGAAGGATGGGATTTTACAGCTGCAAAAGGGAAACTTCAACAGGGCGCTGAAGAAATACAAGCAGCTGCTGGTTCACTTCTGTAAGTCGCACAGTCGGACCCACACGGCTTGATTTTGATGTAAGACTGAACAAAAAAAAAAATAACGCAATCAAAGCGTTTGTATGGTTCATGAAGTCCTTATTCATGCTCACTCTGTGTGTCTGTCAGACGCTCCCCTGACTGTACAGGGCTATCGTGCGACGGCAGCGTTTGAAGGCGCCGCCGCAGAGCTTCAGGGGTCAGAGGTCAAACTGGCAACGGTTGATGTGACAAAGGAGAAGGAGCTGGCGAAAGAGCTCGATGCAGCAGACCAACACACAATCAGACTGTACCTCTCTGGGGATAAACTCAACCCTGTGTCCTGTCCTGGTACGTGACAAAGAGAATATCCTGTTCACATTAGTATTATAGTTTATGGGGGTTTAATATATCACCTTATTACAACCTATGAGTTCCTAATGGTAGCCTGGTTCCACACAAGTTTGTTTGGGAAAAATTCCCCAACCTAACTGACCTCACAGGTTGTTTGTCTCTATCAGTAGTTGGATGTTTTACTAAGTAGTGAAGCACAACTTTTAGGCACATGGACTTTAATCAAGTGTTTCCATTTAATTCAGCTTTATACATTTACTGCATTTTTATCACAGGGGTAAATATTAGGCTTTTTTACAACACTGTATTGATCTGACAGCTTCAGCTACGTCTCAGTTTATATTTTGTAATGTCCTTTATGTGCAGTGAAAAGCTGTGTATCCCCAAATGTGATGATGTTTAATGTTTCTGACACACTGAAGGATTAAGTTGGAAATGCAAAATGTTGATGGAAACTGGGCTGTTTTTCTGAGCTTGTGAAAAGCACAGGGCAGTGAGTCTATAAAACATTTAATAATTGCAGATTAAACTACCAAACAGTATATAAAGTAATAAAAATTAGCTCGACCATAAACATCTACAGCAGTAAAATTGTAGTAACTCACTATTAATCCAAAAACATCATTTATAATAGTAAAACACTGTAAAGGACCATTTTACTGAATAATGAGTACTTTTATTTGTAATTCCTTGAGTGCATTTTGCTGACAATACTTTCAAGTTTTTTGCTTAATTACATTTTTAAATGCATGACATTGCTTGTAGTGGAGGACAGTGTCGTAAAAGATGTGAATGCTTCCTCCACCACCTGTTCCTACCCTCTGATATGACCCAGAGGAGCTGTGCACTAGCAGCAGAGGAGATGCCACTGAACTGCTAAAAATCACTGCCTAACATAAATACCTCTTTTCGTCATATTCAGGGACAAACACAACTTGATAAGGATCCTTGTTTACATTAAAATAAATACTTTAAGATTGGAGGCAATATAATGGTTGCACTAATAATGTCGCAGTTAAGGTTGTAGAACAAATGTGACATAAATTAAAGTGAATGTCAAGTTTAGGAAACAGGCAGCATCTCCCACGTTGAAATCCAGTGTTTTGTCGCTTCATAACTAGTGCAGCCACCAGAGGGCTTTGTCTACTCAACACCTAGACTGTGTATGGACTCAGGCCTTGTCCACGTCAATTCATGATATTTTGCAGAACAAAAATTTTCCTATATGTTTAAGCATCTCATCCACACGCAAGCAGCCATTCAGATCATTAAAAGTGACATTTTGTTTTTAGAGAGTGTGGGAAACAATAAAGTCACACCTTAATCCCAATGAATGTTTTGTGTAATGAGCATTTACCTGAAACTACAACAACGATGGACATAAAAAACAGTTCCTTTGCTTTTAAATAACAGCAGCAGTTACAAGTTCACAACTTAACTTGGCATTGTTTCACCTTCTGCATTCTTTCTAACAGCCAGGAGGGGGCAACCTTTCTGGCTGCAAAAAGAGGACTGATTGTATATAAGTCTATGAGAAAACAACCCTTATTCCTGTTTGATTTTTTTTTTTACCTCACCAAACATATCGTTAATGAGTTTATGGTCTCATTCGCTCATTTTAAGTCTCCTTTCATGATGTTCATTTTATGAAATATCCTCCCATTTAGAAAATGCTGGAGGCCATTTAACAGTAAAATGTAACTATGGGTTGTAATAAGGTTCACAAAATGTGTGGTCATTTTTTTTGAGTTTTCCTCAATGGAGAACAACTATTAGTTTTCTCAACTAATTCCTGACAAGAAAGAAAACAAGCAAACAAATGCATTTAAAAAAAATCTTTACCATCAGTCGAATTGAATTTTGTTCAGGTTGGGGTAAAATATTGAAGGTAATCTGGTGACCTGTTTTGCTGCATTGTGATGAAGTTCCTCAGAGTTCGGCCTCCATCTTGACCTGGCTGAAAAGGAGGGCGGGGTCTGCTGCTGACCTCATCACTGATCTCAGCCAATCAGAGGCCTCGGAGGAGCTGACTGTGGTTGGATACTTTAAGGTGAGAACCAGCTGTTTGGTTTTCTACTTCTGATTGTGGATGTTGTGATTGTACTTCAGTTTAACTGTTTTGTTTGTGTGTGTGTGTAGGAACTGAACCATGAGTACGTCCAGATGTTCTACGCTGCAGCGATCGACCTACCAGACATTAACTTTGTTGTGACACAGAACGATGAAGTCACCAGCAAATATGGTCTCACACATGATGTTGTTTTGCTGCTCAAAAAGGTGCTTAACATACAACATACACACAAACACACAAGTTCACAGGGATGTGAAACAACAAAACCCATTTAATAGACCTTTTACATTCTCTCAATATCTATTATATATGACATAACTGGTGAGAAATTCAGCTAGAGATGGAAAAATCACAAAAAGAACATTGATGTCTGTGCAGGAATGTTTTAAACATGTCTGCAAGATCAGAAATTGGCTGTAAGTAGTTAGAAAAGTACGACAGGTTATTAAAAAGTGAAATTTGATCACGTGTCATGTGACAAAACTATCATAAATACTAAACTGAAGGAAATGTTGAAGCTACATCCAGAATTTTAATAAAGCAAAAAGTAGCTGTGATACCTGTGATAGAATACAGACTTTGACTGATTAGGCTACCGTCCCACATGAATGAATGAATGAATACACGAAGCAGACCAGTGGTTTATTGCAGTCTTATCTCTGTGTCTGTGTCTGTGTGTGTCTATGTGTGCGCTGCAGTCTAAACTCATCCAGGCTTACAGAATGACGCCTCAGACGTCTAAAGAGGAGCTGATCGTCTTTATCACCGTCTACCAGATGGATCCCGTCACTGAGTACAACGGACAGGTAGAGGCTGGTGTTCATGGTGCATTTCCTCACACATGTTACTGCTCTGCTCCAATTACAGCTAGAAACTGTTTTGTGTTTAAACTCTCTAATCTCGAGTCTTTAATTAGTTTGTTGATAATTTGGGAGGTAAAACTCGTCTACTGACTCCTTCTTTACATGCCCACCTGTAATCTAATGCAGTCCATCTGACATGAGCGCTTCTTTCTTGAAGCTTTGGATGACACTGCAAGACAAGTGATGCTTTATGTGTGTTGGTGAGGTTCTAGTGGCTGATGGTGTACTGGACTGTGACATATCAAAAGCATTCTTATTATTTTGTTAAACCCATTAACATTCATGTCTTTTGGTTTAAAATGCTACACTTGGGGCGCTGCTGTAGCTCACCTGGTTGAGCTGGTGTCCTATGTGCAGGACGCCAGCTCAACTCACATGTCCTCCCCCCATTCTTCTCCCCCATTTTCCTGTCTCTCTCTCACTAACACTATCAAACAAAGGAAAAAAAAAAAAAAGCTACACGTACAGCAGTCTAAAATGTAAGAGTCAAGTGTTTTGTTGCCCTCTTCATCCACCCCCACCTCCTCCCTGTATGCAAAGTTTGCAGCTCTATAGGTCGCTTCACTTCCTCTTTTGCTGCTCTCATGCTTACTGCTGCATTTACAGGAAAAACTAAAAAAAAATCACATTTCAGCATATATTTTTCTCTCTCTTCTTTTTGCAGACAGTCACTCAGATCTTATCCTTGCCTGTTTTAAACCATGCCCTCCTCTTTGTCAACAAAAGCTCGGCAGACTTTGAAGAGATTTTCTCTGCTTTTAACAGCGCTGCAGAGGCTTTCAGGCTGAAGGTACACAACACACACACACACACACACACACACACATTGATAATGCATTTCATAACCCCTTTGCCTAAATGCCAAACCCCAACAATTACCTTAAACCTAATTATAATCTGAACCAGTTCATTGAAGCTCAGCCTTTATTAAGGTCCCATTTGATTGCAGCGTAAAAGCCACTTATGCAAACATGTGAAATAGTGACAGCTGCACGTGACACGAGCCATTTCCAGAGAGGTAAAAGAATGAATCCAATGAATACATTTAGACTACATTTCATATATTTAAACCCTCACATTAATCTTCGATAATGAATTCAAGCAGTTTGTACTAAATGAAATGTTTAATAATGTGATTGCACTGGGAATTAATGGACATTTTTAGTGATTACTGCTAATCTTTGATTGGACTATAGCATGAACAGTGGATACAAAGAAATGATCACTGTCTGTAGCGCAGTTTGAGCCTAATTTAAACATTTCTGTCAAACAGATGAGACGGGCTTCCTCTTCTTATAATCTTTCTACATTTTCTGACAGTATTGGTTAAATGTGTTCTTACATTTTGCATTAAGAATCCTAAAATTAGGTGGAAGCCATCAAACATCTCTTTAAAGGTCTTTCCAAAGAAGGGGGCTTGCCAAAATGTCTTTACTTGACTTTCTTTACTTTGAAATTTAAACTGATCCTCACAAAGTGTTTGGAAGGCTTTGGAGTGCATATGTTTGTGTGTCTGCATGCAGATTTTGTTTGTGTACGTGGACGTGAATGAGCTTCGTAACGGCAGAATGATGGAGTACTTCCGGGTTCGCGATTTTGAGGCTCCTCTCATCCGACTGGTCAACCTGACAGATCATGTGACCTACCACCTGCCGTCTGACACCCTGAATGTGGAGAACATTAAAGCGTTCTGCCAGTCCTACCTGGAGGGCAAAGCTAAGGTAGCTCACACTCACACCTGCTGTGCGCTACAGAAGCTGGATAGGCAGCTTGAGCTGATGCGTTTGATGTGTTTGCAGCCTAAGATGCAGAGTGAGCCGATACCTGAAGGATGGGACGAAAAACCTGTGAAGGAGCTAGTGGGGATGACTCTGGAGAAAGTTGGCTTCAACCCCGACAAGACGGTTTTTGTCCTGTTCTGTAAGTGAACACAATTAATTTTAACACTGAGCATCAATTTGGTTCCTCTGATGCTGACAGATATAGTGCCTTTCTGCTTGTTGTTTTAGTTTTAAGACCCTCAGTTTTCTGCTTTGCTTCAGTTTCCACACCCTGAGTTTTTCCTGAATGCAAATGATTTTTGCGTAAAAGTCCTAAAAGTGTGAGCCTGCTGCTCATCACTAAAAAACCAACAAAGCTAACAACAAGCTGGCGAACAATCAATCAGATCAAGTTCATTGTCATTTTGCTGTACATACACAGTCGTACAGGCAAGATGAGAGAGCGTTTCTTCAGGATTATTCAACCAGCAAGTTTTGCGGAATGCACGTCTGGGATAAGACACTTGTTGAGGAAATTTTCTATGATCTGCATAAAGTCCAGTAGTCCGAGTTGTCTTTGTCTCATTTTATTCAAAGTCATACAGAATGCAAGCAGTCTGCAGGAGAGTACACATGAGTGCAGACAGCATAGTATTCTTATACATGTACAGGCGTGGTCTTTACTCCAACGGTAGTATAACAATCCCATGCTGGAAAAAAACAGCTGGGTGTACAGGGTGTACTCATCCACGGACGTTAGAAGACTAAACACGCTGGATCAGGCATCAAAAGTCTAAACATATGGGATGCACAACTTCTTCTTCCCATGTACAGCCACTAGTGTTTACCTAGATGTTATGGGAACACATTTTTGGGCCTGTAACCTTTCCACTCAGCTTTAATGAAACTTAGAGAAACTTGCTTTGACATTCTTCATGCAGATGCAGTATTTTTCCATTACACACTAAACGTTCGCTGTCGCTGCCTCCTGAAGGGGGCGCTGCGTCCATGCACGCCGCCGTTTGTTGAACATGGCGAACCTCTTCAGGTCCTGGTAGGTCTTCAGGGACACAAATACACACATGATGGTGTGACGATGGTGAAGCCGCAGATGCTGCCCAGAGCTAACTGTCTGTCTGTCCGCCTGGAATAATGACATCCCCTCCAGCTGTATGTCCGTCTGGGATGTTGTCATGGAGCCACGTTTCTGTTAAAGCAAACACACAGCAGTCCCTCCACTCTCTGTGGGTTTCTCTCAGCAAATGTAACTCGTCCACCTTGTTGTCGAGGGAGCGGACATTGGAGAGTAGGAGGACGGTCCTGCTGGTCCGGAGGTGTTAGCCTTTAGCATGGATCCCGGCTCTGTTCCTCTTTTGTTAACATTTGTACTGTTTGCGCTTCCTTCTCTCTCGGGTAACAGCCAGTGTCGTCTCCAATCGGACTCCGTGTTGGTGTCGTATGTCCAAATCACAACCGATTGCTGCAATTCCAGCGCCGTTCACTGTCCTGACACCCAGCAAAGTCTCCCAGCCGCAAGTTTTTACGAAATGAACGTCTGGAATAGACAAGACACTCAAAACGTTCACTTTAGTTGTCTCCTGAAGTGGCCGCTGCGTCTATGCGCCGCCATCACCATGGAAACAATGAGTATAAAAAGGAGTATTTAGGAGTATTCAGCAGCTAAAGAGGGATATATTTCCTTCAGTAGTTGGTGGAGACCAAAACTAGAGCTAAGAAGATGGTGAATGTTGAACTTCAGTTAGTCTGGTGACCAGAAACATGAGTCAAGTTTTGATTAAACAACCATTACCTCACATATCCATCATAAACTTTATAGGGTGGATAATACGTCTGTGTTTTGTTTTCAGCTTTTTCCAATACACTCAAGTTACCAAAAATAAATTTTGTCTTCAAAACATGGTCATGATGTTAAATGGCATAATTTTAATGATACTAACTCATGCATCATTATTCTGACCTTCACATCACCAGATTCAGGTTCCAGGGTTGTTCGCTCACACTCAGATTCGTGCTGTTTATCGTCTACTTCTGTTTGTTTGTGCTCAGAGCTCTTTCTGCTGAACTCCCTTTTGCAAAACTGACTTTATGTTCCTCTATTTGATTTAATAATAATCGTGTAAACATCACAAAACCTTAAATGTCATTTCATTTTCACACAGTGCGCTCAGTTGTAATAAAAGTAGTGGGTGTGGAAGATGCTTTTATTAGTTATAAAAGAACAGTAGTACTTATTAAGTTTCTGCTGATGTTCAGAGCTGCTTTTGTACATTACAGACTTTAGTTTTGTTTAACACGCGACTTGTTTCGCATGAAAAAAATAAATAGTAGATTCCTGCATCCACACAATGCAGACAGGAGATGGATGTTTAATGTTTTCTTTACCACTATAATGAATCGCTCACTTGTAGTTTCCACCTGTGCAAAAGTGAAAACATCTTTATATCTGTATGTATGTATATGTTCATTTCAGACCTACCCTACAGTCGGGCGTCTCGTGCTCTGTTTCCACTGTGGGAGGAACTTGCAGAGGCCTTCAAACATCGAGAAGATGTGGTGATCGCTCGTATGGATGCCTCAGCCAACGACATCAACCTGTCGGTGCAGGGAGCTTATCCGTCCCTCTGCCTGTTTCCTGCTCTGTATGCTGAAAGGGTACGAATCATTCACAATGCAATGAGCTTTAGGGACGTTCTGGTTGCTGTTTTTCATATTTTACAGCTACTACTTACACATTCGCATGATTTTTTTCATATTGGACAGCTTGTCTGTGTATGCAGTGTGTTATTCACTAAAGCTACAAATTACTACCTTTTTTTTTTAACAAACAGACGATAAAAGACTCTAAATATAGTAAATGGAGATAACAATGTTCAGTGTGTGATCTGTGTTTCTGTCAGGTGGTGGTTTACACTGGAAAAAGGAACGTGAAAGACCTGCTGAAGTTTGTAGATAAGGAGATGGAGAAAGCCAAAAAATACAGAGTAAAGGTAAATCATCTTCTGCATCCTCCTGCCACCACTTCATAAGTCTGTGTGTGTTTAAGGGCTGCCTTTTATCTCAGTTAAAAATAAACTCCTTTCCTTTGCGTCTCCAGGAGGATGAAGACAGGAGGAAGTACATGGAGGCTTTACAAGCTGAAGAGGCAGAAAAAGCCAACAAAACCAAAGATGAGCTTTAATACAAGAACAAAGACAGTCGTAGTGTGTGTGTGTGTGTGTGTGTGTCATACCTTTTAGTTTTTACTTTCCAGACATGATTCTGGTTTTATCTACTCAACTCAACTGTCATTAACTTTCGGGCCAATCAAATCAAATAAAGCCTTCACTTAAAAACTCTGATGGCTACAAGACTTTGCACTTTTTAACCTCACAGGCAGATGAAACTTTGGTTTGGACGTCCAGACTAAACAAGGCGATGTTGCTGAGGAAGAGGGCAAAGAGAGATTTTGCAGCAGCTGGGTGTTTCTGGATGTGCTGTCCAAGCTCGTCTGCAGAAGCACAAAGAGGCGGAAAAAGGCAGGAAAACCGAGCAGACAAATGACACATCAGGTCCGACTTCCCTTCAAAGATGTCCAGCACTGCCGGCTCAAACTCAGCGGGAACACACATCTACAGCCTATAGAAGTCTGCTGAGAAGTGGTCTCTGTGGAGGACCTGTAGCCGTCCATCCGACGTGAACACAAAGGAAAGATGCTCATCATGAAAACACAAGAACTGGGGTGCGGTAGAAATGGCAGCAGGTGCTCTGGATGGAGCCAAAGGTTTGGTTCTAACAGATGGCACTTTGTTCACTGAAGGGCTATAGAGCGCTACAAGGATGATAGTCTTCGGCATAAGCGAAGCACGGTGGAGGCTCCTTGCAGGTCTGAGGCAGCATTTATGTAAATCAAGTTGGGGATCAGCCAGATTCGTCGGTCTCCTCGATGCTGAGACATACAGGAAGATTATTGTTCTTCATGCGGCACTTTCAAGAAGACTTTAATCCGTCTCAAATTAATTCTGCAGCTCAACGATAAACCCAAAAATTGCAACTAAAAAAGTATTGTGGAGTCAGTCAGAGGTACAGTCGTCCTCAAATGTATTCATATCCTTCCATTAAAGAAAAGGCAAAATTCACAATAGTCACTCAAATAGCTAGAAACTGAAAATAATAAATAAAAATTTGCTAAATTATAATTTAATGAGATAAGACGTTGCTTTTGAATTGTGGTTGAAAAGAATAATTTTAAAAAATAAATAAAAAGCTGTCCTGGACAAATTAGAGCACTTTGCTGATGAGCAGTGGGCCAAAGTCAAAACACCTGTCAACAGGTGCAGAAGTCTGATTGAGAGTTACAGAAAACACTTGATTACAGTGATTGGCTCAAAGGGTTGTTCAACTAAATATTAGTTTACAGGTCCCATCATGCTTGTTTTTTGCTATTGTTGCTGTTTTAAAAAATATTTCTGTTGAACTACAATTCAAAAGCAATGTCATGATTTTCTTAACATTTTTATTCATTATTGCTTTTGTCAATTTCAACTTATTTCAGTGACAGATGTTTATTTTCCTTCTCTAATGGGAGGGTATGAATACATCTGAGGACGACTGTAACAATAAGAGAGAGAAGAAACTAAAACAACCTCAAAACTACAGTACAGAAGAGTTTGACGTTACTTAGAAACAGTTTTACCATCACTTAAGGTTGTCTGCTAGAGAGACAGGTTTATTTTTTTAGCCGCTAACCACCTCCACCAGTACCTACAGTGTCTTGTTGACACAGAAACAGAAATGTTGCTTTATGATGGTCAATGTCTTTATTTATCCCAAATGTACTGCACTAACATACTAAGTGTGTCTGAGAACCTGATAGAACCAGGTGTGGCACATCGCAGGTGATCTTCAAGTTGTAAATGTAAATGGCACCACAATGGATTCACTCGTGGACACAACCAACAGACAGGCTGGCTCTCTACAGCTACGACTAGTGACTAAGCTTAGGAGATCAGACTCGGGAAAAGACTAAAATAAATCAATTATACAAACAAAACAAGTTGAACCAACAATTCAAGGAGTTAGTCGACCTTCACAGACATAGTCTGAGCCGTTTCTTGTCTAAATGTAACACAAGGCCATGCAGAATATGTGGAGGAAACAAATCCAACAAGCTGTGTGAAGAAACTGAGCACACCCTGTAAAGAAAAAAAACCCAGACAATAAATCCAAATGTGTTGATTAGACAACTGAAAAAAAACAAACATTGGAAGCGTTAATTTGCAAAAACAGAAAAGTGTCACAGGATAACTAGGCTGGTTGACCCAAATGCAGAAATGACACTCAGGAGAGATGGAATCCAAAAATAAGGTTTATTGTGGAAATTGATGTCATCAAGATGAGAAAGAAACGAGGCGGGGGTGTTACCGGTAGGGAGTAGATTGTCCAGGTAGCCACGGAGAAGGCTCGGGTTTGGTGCAGGTGGAGACACAGACGGGAAGCGGGAACACTGGAGAATCCTCAACGAAGGAAAGGCGGTCTCGCTGACACTCGGAAAAAGGCACAAAGGAGGCTCAGAGGAACACGACGGGAACACTCGGGTGGTGGCTAGAAGTCGCCATGTAGGGCAACACTCAGGCAAAGAGTGAATGGTGAAGGCTCCTCTTATACTGGTGGTGACGACCCAAATGAATTGCAGGTGTGTAGCTCACACACCTGCAGGGAATCAGTCACTGAGAATTCCTCCAGGACGCCCTCTGGTGGACGCCTGGAGGAGAACAAAAACACAGGGCCAAAATCACCATTCCCTGACAAAAAGTGCATTTTTGTAGATTTTCAGAAAATGTATTTTCTTGTTGTTTGCTTGAGAAAATGTCAATCAAACTGAAGTTGAGTGGATTTGTCTCCATAGAAATGACAAAAATAGAGATAGCTTAGGTTTGATATTGTCTCAGGTAGACGATGGAAAAGTGTGTTTTCTGAAGGTTTGTGAAGATGGAGGTATCTGTTGTTGCAAATGAGCTCTTTATTTCAAACACAAAGTTAGTACAGTCTTAATAAGCACCATTTAAATCACAGTGAACCTAAACAGCATTGTTGTTGTTTTTTCTGCCACGTCAACATATTTCTCAGCAGTAAAGCAAACTCCTCGTAAAATGCTGTGTGGACGCCCTGCAACTGCCAAACACATCTAACCATTAAAAAAAAAAAAAGGAGCACTCGCAACAAATTTCATTAAACAAACTTCTCCTAAAACATCAAAAATGTAATCTTTTACCGTAAATCATCCAGGACGGAGTGACGCCGAACATCTGTTCTGGCCTCCAACAGAAAAGCTCCTGACTTTCTTTATCAAGTCTGACAGTCAAACAGCAGACAGCAGAGAACCACTCGCTACCACTGGTTACGCTTATTTTTTGTTGTTGTTTATTTCATGCTTAAAATATCCACAAGTGACAGATTTTCTCATACTACTAACTGTCAGTCTGAATTACCAGCTGATAAATCTTGCATTGGTGAGACTATGACTAATTTGATAGAGAATAAACAGCCAGTCATCTGTACCGCAGGAAGCTCAGTGTACTCATTGTTCTACCAGTTGAGTAAATATGACATTATCTACCAGCACTGCAGCTGTCTGAGCAAACCAGCCCAAACTTTGTGATGTCTGGCCGTTTCTTCCAGCTCGTCCTGGTGGACCCAAGATGTCTGACCCCCCAGAGAAAACTCTTTTTGGCGACTGGTATCTGCGACTTTCATCCACTTTACCAAGAGCTACTGACCAAAGATGAAGTAGGGATGAAGACCAGCAGGTGAACTAAGAGCTTTGATTACAGGCTTAGTTTTGTTTTCCCCAGAACAGTTTAACGTCCGCATCCAAGCAGAAGCAGCTCCAGTCCGGCTGTCGATCTCCCTCCTGTCTGCCTTCACACATGAACATGAATCACACTTTGTGCAGCCGCTCTCTCTCCACCAGCAGGAGGCAACCTGCTGTTTTCCGGCAGAGCACCATATGGCCTCAGATTTGAAGGAGCTGATCCCAACCAACCGAGTGCCAACCGCAGTGACACAAAGTTAAAAAGTTTGACGTGTTAAATGAAACATGTAGGATATTTTAGAAGCTGATTTGAGATTTTTTTTTTAGCTCGAGTATGTTAGGAAAGAAAGTCAAAATAATAAGAATTCTTCATTAATTGTACCTGCATGCAGTATTTTGAAACAGAAGCTAGCTTAATAACAGCAGAGACTTCTTAGTGGCTGAGAGAAACATGGTTATAAACCA